TCTAAAATGTTTGTATTACAGAATTTTACAGTAAAGGCGCTTTATTTCGGTTCCTACAATTAAAACATTTATTATACTGTATTTGATCATTAATTGACAAGCTTCTGCTGATTTATTTATTTCAAGGAAGGGATTCGGTAATATATACTTATTTTGTAATTCATTTTAACATTCCGTGAAATTTATAAATTAAATGTAAAAGACTCAAGGTCTATGAACAGATGAATTAGTATTGCTCGTTAACTGTGTTACATTTTCATAACAATTTCATGTGAAAAGGGAGGCAATATTTTCAGATATGCAATCGTCACATGAGCGTATTCTAATCATGTTATGGCGTTAATATTATTTCCTTATTTTTTTTTAAAAAAAAAATTAAAAAGCTTGGAATTATTTTATTTTTACATAAAATGAAAATTTCCTCATTAAACTTACATAATCTTTTTAATAAAAATTTTATCATGATGCGACTATATTCTATACTGGTATTAAAATTAGAATTTAAAATTACGGGTAGCAATTTCAATATATATATATAATATATATATATATATATTAACTGATGCTTTCTATTGCCAGAATTTAATTAATCTATTACTAAAATATATGACGAACATGTAACCTTTTTTTTTTCATTGTCAGTACATCCATTTTCCGACAAATTCCCTGATGGACATTTTCCTAAAAATCGATTTTTTTGACATGATATTATCCCGATGATATATATCCCGAAAAGATTATCCTGATATGACATTTCCCAAATCAAATTACGAAAAATGATTTACAAAAATATTTGATTTTACTGCGAAAAAATACAATAACAAAATTTATTTTTTAATTTATTCAACTTACTTTTTTCATATGTTTCACAATTTTTTTTTTTCATTAATGAAAAATGAATTTATTCTTTACAATCATTACATTTTATCGCGTAATTGTAATTTATCTAATATATATTGTTATTTTTTTAGATTACCCTGTATAAATTGCGCGACATGTGATTCGTCTGCGGTTTCGAGGTCACGTTTCGATGTGAAAATTTTTTTGGCTAATCTGGGATAGGAATTTTTTTTGTAATGCTGATGGAAAAGAAGCTTTTATTATTAATCACTGATATTTATTTTTTCAGTTATTTCCGTGATGCGATCGGCTATAGTAAATTTTTTTTTCCCTTCAGTTTTTCCTTTGATGGCTGAACCAAATTTATTTTATTTTCTTCTTATTAATCCGAAAATCTGTTGTTTTTCTTTAACGATTAAACCGAGATAACGGTTAAACCAAAATTAAACTGTTTTTTTGAAAACCAGATTCGTTACATTCTCTCCAATTTTTAAAATCGGATTTCTTTCTTCAGGTTTGTTTTAAACTCAGATTTTTTTTTCAAAAATCTTTTTTTCCCTTCCTTCCGGTTCTTTTAAGATTGGGTTTTTTTAACAATATTTTATTTTTTCTTTTACGGATATTAAGCCGGATTTTATTTTATTTTTTATTTTTCACCTTTTAGGTTTGGATCAGAGATCGGATCAAAATGAATACTGTATATATGTTTATTTGGAATAAATATAATTTTTGAGTTTTTATTCAGTTAGAATAAATAAAATAATTTTTTATAATGCATCAATTTTCCATAAATATAATAATGTATATCTTTTTGCTCGCAATAAAAACCTAAAGTTAATATTATGTAATATACCCAAATAGCAAATCAGAAATTTATTATTTCACTCATTAATCCTGTTGCAACGCAACAGGTTACAGCTAGTTTATATAACCAAAAAAATTCCGGTGATATTTAGATTAATCTCCGTATAATTGTTAACATGAAAATCTATGCCTGATCTATTACATGTTTATTATAGTATCAATCCGTGAGAACTTTTGTGGCCATGTGGCTAATTCAGTGATCAGATTTTTTTTGTGAGATGCGATCAGCCGCAGTAGCTCGTGCCGAAGCTATCTAATCTTTTTTAACGGTCTTTTTTAAACCGAAAAATTTTATTTTAATTATTTTTTATCATTATTATTTTTTTCTTCTTTTCAAACCCAATAATAATTTTTTTTTTTAAATTAGTTTTTATTAGTTTTTTTCTGTATTTCTATATATAAATTATATTTTGTGTATTGGATAGTATGAATCTTATGCTATAGTTTAAACTATATAGTATAAAAGGTTTACCCTACTACCGCTTTGATAATATGTACAAGTCATACTACAATAAAACGTTAATATAAGAAAGATTTTTAATGTACGTGTTACCACCGGTTTTTTAACGTTTGATTAGGTAATAAGTGGTAAAAGACGAGTCATAATGCAAACAATTTTCATGAATCAATTTTTTATACATCACTCAATTTATTATGTTACTACTATGTTACTCCCACGTGATTGTGCTTATTGTGGATTACATAGTAATACATTACGTCAAAAAGGAATCCTTTGACAATATTGGTGAATTTAACAATACTGTATAATAAAATCATAAAAATCAAAAAATAAAATTTGAACTTTTATTTTTTCCATTTTATTATCTAAAACTATTAAAAAACTTGAAAGGCTTTATAAATTTATGGTATAGTATAAAATTCTAATTAAAAAATATTAGAAGTGCCAAGAAGAATAAGAGTGAAATAATTACTTTACTAGCAAGGTTTTTATGGTCAAGTCTAAAAAATGAGAACAGATGTTAAAAATGTGGTAGTTAACATAAAATTATCATTTCTCTTGACGGAATATTTGACGTTGAATTTACACTTGAATGTACAGGTTTTCCTAGGAATTGATGTTGGTGTTTTCGTAACTATCGGTTGATTTTAATTTTTTAATCGCTATCATCAAACTCTATTAAGCATAATGACTTCTTTCAATATTTTAGTATGGCTAAGATATATAATAAATATTCTTCTAATATTATTTATTAACTACAGTAGAATGATAGTGATAGTTTATAAATTATTTGGCCAAAATAAAATTTTATATAATTTCAAAATGATACAAGTTACTGTACGTATGTACAGTTACCGAAGAAATTGGTGAATTAAAAATATTAACAATTCATTGATAAAAAGAAAACTCTTTAACCAAATTACCAAAGTAAACAATATTACCAAAAATATCTAAATAAATTATATATACAAATGAAACATCCACAATCCGTTTAAAAATAAATAAAAATCGTTTTTTGATGTTGAGAAGATTTTTTCTTCTTATTGTTGATACAGGAGCGCTACTATACAGTAAGTCTTTTTCCTATATATATGGGTTTTCATTCACTGATTATGCTCGAAATATCGGTCCTTGCTATTATAATTATAGAATAAACGTGTAAGATAGTAAACTATCTTTTTGTATTTTTACTTAGTTTTATATATATATTTTCGTTTTTACTTTTTTTTTTTGGCTGTAAATATTCTTTTTTTTTTACTCAAACATTGTCTTTTTATATCAAAGACCTGTAAGGAGAATAATTTACTGTTTTACTAATAGGGTTTTATATCTCGCATGTGAATTTCATATTAGCGGCTAATTTGGAGTGTTATAGGTTTTTATTTTTCTTGATCGAGTATAGAAAAGAAATATATTTACTTGACACCTAAGCAGTATTTCCTTATTTTCTAACTTGTTATAGATCATCGTTATACAAGATTATTCATCTAAATTAGTGTAAATTGTAATCGAACTTTGCGTCTCTTAAATGTCTATTTTTGAAAATTACGTAAAAAAGAATGTGAGAATCACAGTATACAGTATGTTTATACTGTAGTTAAAAGATTAATACAAGCATATTATTTCTATATAATTCTATCATTTAATGTTGATACTCACGTGAATGTTTAGTCATTCAAATACATAAAAAATTTTAATTAAAATTTGTAGCAAAAATCATAATCATGAATAAGTATAAACATTATTATATAGACCAGTAAAACATCAAATCGTCTTCCATAAAATATATAGTATTTAAGACTTGCAAGTGCAATACCTCGTATATCTAAATACCAATAATAACTTTCCAAATATGAACCGATAATTAAACTATTTTTTGATATCATTATATAATTATGAAATGATATCTTTACCATGATAGATTATAATGTATTGTTTATTCTTATAATTATTCTATTTTTTAATAAATAGTTAAATTTTTTTTTAGGTGATGACGTCGGTCGAGGTATAATCGTCTGATCACTTGACCAACCCGACCGTTTGACCAATTAATATCTTATGTCAACTTATTAATAATTTCACTTTATAAATTAAAAAAGAAATTTGAAATTTCATAAACTGTAATAAATTGTCATTTTCAGTAGAAATGTTGGTAATCCGAAATTATATTTTTTTAAATTTTTATGTAATCAGCGTATCCAGTTCGTAAATGGTCAATACCAAAATTGCCAACATTTCCGAAAAAAGGTAATAAAAATAAGATGACATGAAACAATCAATATATTGATTAGGATCGAATCGCTTATTATCACTTATTAGACTTTCATCTTATATTTCGTTTTATACTTTGTGTTTAAATTTCTATTTCAGTTATAGTTTCATTTAGTTTCCTTTTTTGTCGATTCAACTTTATCATTTGATCCTTTTATTTTTGACTTCAATTATTTGATCCTTTTCTTTCTTATTGTTTTGATTTGTTTCATTTTGGATTCTTGTTTAATTTAATAATCCTTTCATTTGCATTTTCGTTCAGTTTTTCCATTATTTTTTAGGATAATTTGCAAAAAAAATATTTCAAGCGATTTAATATAATTTTTCATTTTATAATTCGATATTTAAAATCTTTTAAAACATTTTGCATAAATAACAAAATTATTTTTCGTTTATACATAAACTAATAATAAATTTATTCAATGAGTGATAATTTAATTTGACATTACATTACGTACTGCATGTTTTAATATTCTGGGTAGTTTAAAGATAACATTGATTTACATAAATGAATAATCAATAACTAACCAATTTATAATTTATTTTTATTAAAACCAAATATTACATACAAAACCCATAAATAATAACTATATAAAAGAAATAATTTAATAATATAATTTTAATTAAACTAAATTCTTTGATTCTTATAAAAAAAAATTCATTCAGTATTATTTTCTTCTTCTTGATCACTTTCATTAAGGTCTACAAAATAAGTAAATTAATAAGTATTAGCAAAATAAAGAACTAATGAATAAATATCTTTACCTAATTCGTCTAATTGACAATCAAAACATTCTGAACCTATAAATTAATTAACATAATATTAAAACAATGTAAAGATTTATTTATTAATTATATTGGTTACAAATAATTACTTACGTAATGTTGTTTTATTAGCATCTATTAAAAATTAAAGTTATTAGTAATGTAACTATTTTTTTTTGGTTACCAAAGTAAAGTTAAATTAACTACCTGAATTTACTGGTTCTGGGAGATTTTTGAAATTTAAAAGTCTACTAGTATAAATTGCTTGTGGATGTGTTTGAATGTTGTTAGCTCTTTTTTCACTTGTTCTGTTTAATTTGATCTTATCATTATATTCCTCTACTTGAGGTTTGGCATCACTATCTTTATCTACTTGAGATTCAGTATCAATATCATCAAATTCTTCATTACCACATTTATATAATGTTTGATACAATTCTTTAGCAGTTGGTCTATTTTCTGCTTTAGCATCCCAACATTTAGTAATCAAATCTGCAAGTAATTTTGGTGTATATTTAAAAATATTTGGTCGAAGTCCTTTACATATTTTAATAGATAAAGCATGATTA